GCGGCGGCCGCGGGTGGTGGGTGGCCGCACGAGCGCCGCCCAACGGCACGACGCGAAGCCGCCGGGGGCGGCGGCGGCTGGCGGGGCGGGGCGGGTGGTGATTGGATGCTCCAGTGTATGAGGTGGCGCCTGCGCCCGGCGCCCACGCCGGGCCCCGCTGGCCGTGCTGTGGCCGCTTCGCGCGCACGGCGGCGATGCCTCAGAAGTTGTGTCATGCGCGCCGGCGAGCTCAGCCCTACGCGATGAGCCCGCCCCGGCCGGCGCCGGCAGATGCAGCTCGCCTCCGCGCCGCTCCTGCTCCGGTCCCGCGCTCCATGCTCTGCCGCACGGCAATCTCACACGGCCGCGCGCCGGCGCAGCTCATGGCTCTGCCCGGGGGCGGCTCGCGACCGGCACTTCACGTGCGGCACAGGCCACTCGTCGCCCTCTGCTCCCGGGCTGCGGTCTGCTCCGGCTCGCTCGCCCTCGCTCGCTCTCGCCTCCGCCTCGCGCGCTGCGAGTCTTGGCTGCACCGGTTTTTTGGGTGCCTACAGAGTCACGCGTCTCCGTGCCTGTGCTTGCCGCGGGGCCGGCCTCCTCGGGGGCGCTGATGGCGTGCGGCGGGGCCGGCGGGGCGAGCGGGGCGGCGCTACGCGTTCGTCGAGAGCGCCCGCGAACTCCCCTCCGTGCGGCGTCGGGGAGCGGGGCGTGGCGGTGATGGGGGTGGCCTTCTGGCCTGTGAGGGTGGGAGCGCGGAGGGACGCCAGCCTGCAGGCGCCGCGACGCGACTGGGCGACTGGCGGGCGAGCAGAGCGTTGTCGGCGCGGAGCGGAGAGAGCGAGGGTGCGACGAGCCGAGGCCGAGGCGAGCGAGGCGAACGGGCGTGCCCGCGGGCATGGCGGCGCCCGGGCCCGGTTCCAGTGAGGACTGCTGGAGGAGAGCCGCGGTGGCGGTGGCCGGCGTAGGCGACGGCACGGCGCCGAGCATACACCGTCCCTCTCATCGGCACCAAAGCCAAGGCGCTGGGCGGCGGCGCTGCGGGATGAAGATCCGATCGCGCGCCTGCCTGCCGGTTCGGCGCGCTGGATGGGGCGTGGGTTTTTTTGCGAGCCGCGTGCGCCGTACTTGTCAGGCAGTGACGGCGCGCACAGACGGGCGCACGCCCACTCGCTGGCGCGCGCGTGGCCTCCGCATCTCGACGCGCGCGGCTCCGCCGTCCCGCCCACGCCGCGCGCCACCGCCCCGCGCCCGCGGCCCCGCCGCCGGCGCCGCCAGCGCCGCCACTGCTTCGCACACCTGCGCGCTCCTCGCCCCGCCCGACCCGCACCGTCTGGCTTTGTTTTACTGAACTATATTCAAACCTCTTGAGACTTGCTGCAGTGACGATTCATTTACCGTTGTAACGCTAGAAAGAGTACTATCCATGATACGAGTTTCTAATGGGTTAGTAAGCAATTGCAAGCGAAAAAAAAGCCGGTACCGGGACTCAAAAAGCCATTTCGGTAGTTGATATTTATTCGGTCATTTTTTTTCTCCGAATTCAGGCCTATTGAAATGCATAAGTACAAGAAAGTCTTATTGGAAAACGAATTTGCCATATGATATACCGATTCTCTATTTTTTCCACGGCTCTTCGCCGTATTCGTATACTTCTCCATGAAGTTATTCGACGGTATAATAAACATACAAGTACAAAACATTTATGCTACATTATCATATTCGTCTAGGGATTTGTCTTATCTCATTGAAGGGTCGAAAAAACAATAACAGTTAACAACAAAAAACAATAACAACAATATACTAACCGCATATTCCTTATTCAAAATTAATATAGATAATAAATAATAATAAAATAATAATAATTATATATAATAATAATAATGATAATAAAATATTTACCAAATACATTATGCCAAAACTTGTCCGTGTGTGAAGCATGAAGATTAATGGAGCCACAAACTGAACTGTTCTAACGACTACAAAAAATGTTTCCTTGGGCTGACAAAACTTCATAGATAGTTTTTTACGTATATTAGTAGCTCCAGTTTACATTATATACGAGGCAGTGAGTAGAGTGAAGGAAGTAAATCATTATATCGATATATTGCTCCCGGTTCCATGCAGTTGGATGTATGTGAACATGAATGTCCATCTTTCTATAGGCCTCGAAGCCCACTAAATTTAATAAGTTCAGGGCCGTATCTTATTATTCACGCAAACTCAATCCTTAAACTGTTAGACATCGGCACTTTGACGGTGCTCACTGTAACCGGGGGGGAGGAATAATAGTTATATGCAGGACCGTATTATGCGTAATGCTGTGAACACGTTTGGGATGTAAGGATTGGATTGCTGAATAATGAAAATACGGCCTGCAACCTTATTAAAGGTTTTAGTGGTGGCCCTCGAGGCCTAGCAAAGATGGACATTCCTGTTCTAAATAATACACGCATGGAACCGGAGCAAGATGATATAATGATTTATTCTTTCCTTCACTACCTCCTGCCTTCGTAGTATCAAGTGAAGAGGTAGCGATAATATAGTACAAACCCATCTTTATGAATGTTTTGTCAGCCAAGGGAAAACAGTTTTTGTAAAGTTGAACATGTCACAGTTTGTGCATCACATAATGCTTCTTGCTTTGCACACTGACAAATTTTGTATAATGTATGTTTGTAACATATTATTATTATTATTATTATTATTATTATTATTATTATTATTATTATTTTGAATATGCGAAATATGGGTTAGTATTATTTGTTGTATTGCTTTTGTTGTATAACTGTTTTATTGTTCCGATCCTTTCAAATGAATAAACAAATATACCAAACTAGTTATAAATATTAATAAATTGTATGAGAATATTTTGTACACCTGTCAGTTTATTACTATTCGTCGAAGAGAATATTATCATATTATCTTATCATGGAGAGTAAGTAAGAATAGGACAAGAGCCCTGGAAAGAAATAAAGTAATGGGTATTCGCTGGCAAATTTCTTTCAATGAAGTACTTCTTGTACAATGCCTATCAGAACGCCTGAATTCGAAAAAAAAAATAGCCCGAATAAATACAACTCGAAAGTGGCTTTTTTTTGGAGTCCGGTACCGGCTTTTTGCTTTGCCACTGCATCTACTAAACCAGTTAGGATCGTTATCATGTAGTACTCTTTCAGCGTTACACGGTAAATGAATACGTCACGCATCAAGTCTTCAAGAGGTGTTTGGTAATATAGTTCAGTTAACAACAAAGCAGACGGGGCTGCGGGGCGGGGCGGGCGAGGAGCGCGCAGGTGTGCGAAGCACGGGTCGGCGCTGCGGCGCCGGCGCCGGGGCCGCGCGCGGGGGCGGTGGCCGCGCGCGTGGGCGGCACGGCGGAGCCGCGCGCGTCGAACGAATGCGGAGGCCGCGCGGCGCGCCGCAGTGGCGTGCCGCCCCCGTGCGCGCCGTCACTTGCCTTGACGTCACGGCGCACGCGGCCCACCGCCGCCCCTCCACCGCCGCCCGGCGCGCGGCCGCGCCGATCGGCCCCTCCCGCCACGCCGCCGCCGCCCGCGCCTGTGGCTGGCGGCCAAGAGCCGGCGTGTATGCCGGCGCCGCTGCCTCGCCCCGCCGCCGCCACCGCCACCGCGCTCCCTCCAGCATCCTCCTGAACCCCCGGGCGCCGCCACGCCCCGGCCGCACCGCGCCTCGCTCGCCTACGGCCTGCGGCTCGTCGACCCTCGCTCTCTCCCGCCCTCCGCGCCGACAACCCGCCTCTGCCTCGCGCCCCCAGTCGCCCAGTCGCCCGCGGCGCCGCACCGGCTGGCGCTCCCCTCCGCGCTCCCAACGCCGTCCACAAACACAAACCACCCGCCCCCGCCACGCCCCGCTCCCCCACGCCCCGCACGGAGGAGTCGCGGCCTCTCGACAACGCGTCGCCGCCCCCCCCGCCGCCCTCGCCCCGCCGCCCCGCCGCCACCCGCCCCGCCCCCGAGGAGCGCCGGCCCCCGAGCAAGCACAGCAGAGGCGCGTTCCTGTCCGGCACAGCAGCCCTCGCAGCGCGCGGGAGGCGAGGCAGAGCGAGCGAGGGCGAGCGGGAGCCGGGGCAGACGCGCAGCGCCGGGAGCAGCGGGCGCGAGTGGCCTTTGCCGCAGTGAAGTGCCGGTCGCGAAGCCGCCCCCGGCAAGCCATGACGCTGCGCCGCGCGCGGCCTGTGAGATTGCCGCCGGAAGCATGGACGCGGGACCGGAGCAGAGCGGACGGAGCGCGAGCGCTCGCCGGCCGTCCGGCCGCCGGGCAGCTCATCGCGCTGAAAGCCGCCGGCGCGCATGACACAACTTCTGAGGCATCGCCGCCGTGCGCGCGAAGCGGCCACAGCACGGCCAGCGGGGCCCGGCGTGGGCGCCGGGCGCAGGCGCCACCTCATACACTGGAGCATCCAATCACCACCCGCCCCGCCCCGCCAGCCGCCGCCGCCCCCGGCGGCTTCGCGTCGTGCCGTTGGGCGGCGCTCGTGCGGCCACCCACCACCCGCGGCCGCCGCGGCTCCACCCCCATATCCAGGCGGCGCCGCGGCGCGCGGCGGACCGCACCGCCTCACGCGCCACCGCGCACGGGCTCTTGGGCCGCGCACGCCCAACCACGCGCAACCCGGCGTGGCTCCCCCATGCGCCGCCCGCCCTGCCGGCGGCCGCCGCCATGCCCATGGACCTGCACGTGCCGCAGGCCTTCCCGTACTACAGGTAGGCCACGCCCCCGCCGCGCTCGGCGCGGGCCGCCGCCGCCGCTGCTGCTGCAGGGAGCGCTTCCGGTGGAGACTCCAACGCCGCTGGGGGCGCGCGCGTCAGATGCCGGCGCCTGTGTGGTCTCTCGAGCGCCTTCATGCAATCGCTCTCTTTGTTTGTCATTAATTGTAGTCGTAGTGGGAAACATTGGGTCACTCTGGCGTCTCTCTCATATACCCATTATCATCCAGTGTGTTAAGTGCTCGTTATCAACGCGCTTATACTTTCGTGACGAATCTGATGTGTAATTAGTGATTAATCGTGTTTCAAGAATAGCGGAGTGCTAGTTCGCACGCGCCAGTGTGCATGCAAGTATTGAAGATTAACTTCGTTCATCATTGGCTTCTGACGTTGTGGTCGGGCTGTTGATTTCTGTGACGTAACGCCCAAGATACGGAATGAAGTCGGGAAGTTCCGATGCTTGTCGCGAGAAGAACAAGCTGATGGGTCGGGAGGAGACTGAAGAGGCACCACAACTTCGTTCTCATGGCAAATGGAATATGTCACAAAGTATATAAACAGGATGAGGTGCTACGTCTACCCATTCGAATTTCGGTTGGTAGCCACTGGTCAAACCCTTGCCTAAACTGAATCGTGAATACTCTCTTCTCTTGCTATGGAAAATCACCAATCGCGACAACGGTGACAGTGGTCGCCTACAGCGCTGACTGTACTCAAATAAATGAATAAAGCGACAAAGAAAAGTTGGTCCAATACAAATGTTTCGGAAACAACACAACTATGTCATGAGAATCTCTTTATTTGGTCATTTTAGCATTCCCCTCTCCTGGGGTTACTGAAGGAATTCGATTCATTCTGATCGAATGAATATCCTTCTTATAATGTTTGGAAGAAGCGAGTGCGTTTTCTTCATAGCCTTGTCACGTTTTATGAATTACTAAAAACGAATTTATATGAACACGCTATAATGGAGAAACGTATCACTTGGCAGAATAGGCATTGCAGATTCAGACTTTTCAATATTCAAGTTCGAGCATATTTTAAGTCTGTTTTGTAGATTATGTCTGTTATGTGTGTTGTAGAGAAAATGCTTTCATTCCTACTCTGAACAAGAGCTCCGTTTGTCAACGATTATTTAAAAATATTTAGAGAAAAATAGCGGAAAAGTAGCCAATGAAAAGCAGATGACTGCAGAATTGTTCAACCTATGTTGTGAAACCTTCTTTTTAACTGACTTCGAAAAGAGGTCATACAATTCGTCATCTATACCGTCATCTATACATTGTGTTTCACTGTTCAGCCATAAGTTGTGCAAATGTTCCCGATTTAAATGATTTTCCTTTTGCCTTATTGGGTTTAATATCAGGTGATACCTCAGGAGTTTTATAATAATAACATGATGGATCCAAAGATATTGTAACAAATAATGAAGTACTGCTATTCTTCAATCGTACAAACAGCACTAGCACCTCAACATCACCCAGGGTTTGTTTCAATCATACCTCCAATGGATCTGCCTTAACTTGAGATCCTGATAATTGGAATGGAGTCTTCTAAATTTTGGGAGTACATTGTGTACAGCTTATTTTACAGTTTTATGACATTTTCTCGAAACTGTCTCCAATTTCTTTCTTAAAATTTTTCGTACTATTAGAATACAATGCGTTTATAAGGATGGTAAAACTTCAATTTACACTGAAATCTGTGAATAAACGACAATAGCTAAAGTTAAACTTAATCGAACCTATCCTAGACCATTATTGAATCTAGATATTATTTTCCCCAATGAAGTATATTCGCCAGCCTTCGCAGATGATATGATTTCATGTACAGATTTTTCAAAATGCCAGAAGTTTTTGTGTTATTTTGAACCAAATCGTATACATTTTTAAAAATCTTAAAAAACCTCTTCACATTTCTTCTTTAATCTTTTGTAGTTATAAAACAAAGCACTGAATCATACGGTAAAACACCTTTGAATTAAAAAAAATATACAAAACTGGCTCTTTTTTCTTGCTATTATAAAGAGAGAACTTATAAGAAAAGAAACCTGTATTTATTCAACAATGCCCCTGAAAAACAAAAAATAAAATTCAATTAAAAAGATGTAAGATCTCGCAAATCCACTTTTATTTAACCTAAACAAGTGCCAGGTTTGTTGTGCTTGTTTGGGTGAAAAAATCTGTCATATTGTCTCTTAAGAAAGGTCTTAAGTTGCTTTGCTGTTATGACAAAAATAGTGAAACCTAGAATTCTGAAACTCTCTCCTTTCACAATTAGCAGCGTTTTATATTTCAAATAATTTAAATGAAATAAAAAATACCCAAGTGTTATATTTATTACAACAAAAATAACAACAACAATAATAATAATAATAATAATAATAATAATAATAATAATAATAATAATAATTTCTTAAAGAACTATATATCTAACACTGACCACGAATTGTGGTATATTTATACTCCTAAGTTTATAAATAACATACAATACTAGTTAAACTTACATCAAACACCTATTTCACGCAGCAACACCAAATAAGATACGCATATTTCTAATTTAACAAAAAAAGGAGGAAATTTCCATCGAAAATTCATTTCAGCATTCTGATTTCTGATTGTCGATGAATTTGGAAATTATTTACATATTCTGTTATGTGTAAACATACTACACCCAAAGATGTTAGAATATCAAACATATAACATGTTAGTTGCCTCAGATTTGTGCCATAGATATTCATTTATGACCAATGTTACTTTTTTCCAACACTTTCCTAAAAAAAAGGAAAAAGCCTAAGTATCTAAAGATAGTTTGTTACAAAAGACATTGTGAAAATACATAAAGAAAAACGTTTGTTCACATCCGGTGTGAGAAGACAAACTGTTGAACCAGTTGTCAAGCGCAATGCACGATGGAAGCTGATTTTAATACTGATACATGGTCGAAAAATATTGACGTTTATGATTACCACTTACGATAATCAGCCATCACATGGAACTATATACATTATTGTGATAAACAATATAACTTACAAAGATTGAGATGTAATCTCCTGCTGTTGATGGAGGCACATCCACGTTCTCCGCTTTGCTCCAGAAATACAGTAGTAGGTTTGGTGCAAAATTCTAAGAGCATGGTAATGAGTTTTCGTGATGTTTTAAAAAATTTTAATGTTTAATTATTATCCTTGCAACATAAATTCACGTTATCTCGCTAAATTTACATTATACAGGCTTACCTCTCGAGAGGCGAGATATTTTCATTTACTTCTTGGAATGCAAACGAGGGACCATGCTAGAATACATCTTAAGCGATTGAGTAAACCCCATCAGAATGGCGACTTATGGCCGAATATGTGGAAAACCAAATGTTTGTAATTAATATAAAAATAAAGGAATATATGAATAAAGAAAATTCAAATCAAGGAGAGTCATGTCAATACTCTGAAAATATACATAATGATTTTGCTTGTAGATTAACAATTGAAACGTAACAAATATGTTTGTACATTCAACTACAATGTTGAATACTCTTTGAAAATGAAGTATGTCAACAGAAATGAACTAATAATATTAAGCAAAATTGAATTAAAACTACTTTTCGGTATAATAAATAATATAAAATAAGCTTCATAACTCGTGCTGAAATATCAAGATAAATGGGATGATTTGTAGGTCTGGCTGAGAAATGACTTTTGACTACTTTTTAACCCCATAACGGCCAACGTCCTCCCTTGAGAATACAAATTTCTGGTCAACTCAAAAACAACTGTTTCCATTACATTAATTTGTGATTTTTGAAATCCTCGATGTATATTGCCATCCTTCGTGAACCACTTAAACAAATTTTGGAATTCATGAATGTTAGATGTTGATTTAGCCGACATCGTTAAACCACTGTATGCTCCTAGCTAGAGCGTTTTCATGACTTTTCGGTTGAAATCTTCTTCTAAAATTTAACTTAGCTTGGCCTGTTTTATGGCTGTGGTTAATTTGGGGGCAGAGGCCACAGAAAGATCTACAAAATTCAATGTTTTCGGAAGCTCATTCCAAGCTTTAGCTGCTGTAACATTGATTAACACAAATGAATCGTTACATAAATGTGGATAATGTTTAGATATTTGAAATAATAGTGACTGAGTTAGCCTGGCGACTGTCAAGGTTTTAAAGTAATGTAAATGGAAATGTTCTCTTGGCTTCAACAGTTAGAAAAAAAGAAAAAAGAGAGGAACTAAGTATTTTACTATATATCTCGTGGATTCAAGACCTAATTAATTTAAAAAAAATGTGTTGCCTGATCATATTTCCTTAAACCATTTATCAATATAATGCATGTAGTTTTAAAACAAGTGATACGTTTAAATTACTATAAAGATAACATTGGTCAAAAATGTCCTTAACATTTTTTGTTTGATTAATTACGAAAGACCTGATGTTATGTTAAGAGATGCGTTGTTGATGCGTGTTTATTGGGCTGTGAATACACACAGCAATTTTTAATTGGACGATCCTGAAAAAAACAAAACAATAACTAATACATCTGAAATTGAAGATATGCTGCCAATAAAATCCATGACTTTTATTTCTTAGTACCCTATTAAAAAGTATTTTTAATACCAGCCTTAAACTCATTCTATTCTCATTTATAAAGATTATTTCATAGCGTTCCAGCGCTAGTCCCCCTTTCTATCCGGATATACAAATAACGTTTATGAAATGGGAATTTGTGGCAGAAAAGTGTCTCCACGACAGGTTTTAACTGTTAATTACACATCCGTTACCATTGCCTTTGATGGATCATTCATTTCCCTAATCTTTAGCACTTCTAACTTATATAATGTCTCTTGTTTTAATAAATCTAGGAAATCCGTTTTTTGCTAGATAGTTGCATACTATAATTCTCGCTATCTTGTATTTGTAAGCGAATATCTAAAATGAATCCATTCCCTTTACCCTAGTTCATCTAATACAAATAAAACACAAATATAATGAATATAAATTCTTGTAGGCTAAAATGCTTACGAACTTTCTTCATTAACGTACTATTAACCAATAGCATTTCAAATAGCACATATCTACTAAAATTCTAGCCTCGGATAGAGAAAACATTACTTTGCTTACCAATGAAGATAAACAGGTACTGGTGTAAGATTATAATATCACGAAGGAATTCAATTCCTGAAAAATAACTTTGTGGGAATTCTCGCTTTGCTTAAAAAGAGGATTTTCAAAACTCGTTCCTTTCATTCTACTGTTTCATTCTACGTATGAGCAAGCCTTGTGCTCAAAATTATTGAATTATTTTTGGAATTCACACCCTGCATTCTCAACTCTAAACTCATATTGGAACACTGAAAGCTTGAGCAGATGCCTTAATATATTTTTAAAAAATCCTTGAGCCTTCTTATTTCTAATGTGTAACCAAGCTGACGAAAGAATATTTTGAAGAAATAATAGTGTCACAATAAATAAATCAACAAACAATATACATTAAGTATTTTGTAATAAAAATCAAGATGAAACTATCTGACAATTAGTTTAATGTGTTCTTTTCTATTTTGTATGTCTTTTGGAAATCGCGCACTATATCGCACGTATTGTACGCATTGTATTCTAGTTATTTTTCTACCTGATAAATGTAGATGGCAATAAATATTCGGCGATCAGAACGTCTCTCATTATTTATGACACTTATGAAATATTTTAATATTGCAATATGTTCTGAATTTACAAGCGCACTTGGCTCAAATCGAGGAAAAGATTTAAAGAAAATAATCCTCCTGAAATTACGGAAATCGAACCTCGGCCTTAAGAGAGGATAGCCTGAACTAAAACATTTAGCTTATCAATACTGTAGCCAATAGACATATTATTACCTATGAAATAACGTATTTGCACTAAACAATTTTGAGAATTCAAGAAAATTTTTAAGAGATAATTTGAACCACTCAACTGAATGATATTACATTCCTAAAGAGCCACTAGCTATATACTAACGTGTAATTTTGTGCAAAATTGTCGGACAAATTAAAAAAAAATTGAAACTTCAAAAGTTTTAGTCAATATTGTATCTTTACCACACAAGTACAGCAAAAGGTTAGATCCAGAAATTTTGAGCTCTGTTTTTGAGAAAATCTTGTTAATGTATATTTGTATAGATGGCATCATTTAAGATTCAATTTTAAACCGTAGACTTCACTACTTGGGAAATATATCTATCTTCAACAATAAAATTGAAGGAGAGTGTGAGGAAAACGAACTTTTCAGCAAGCAATTTTCAAAGATTCTGGAGTAACAATGCAAAGTAGACCATTGCCATAAGATTATGCGAACTTTATTTGGTGGAATCATATTTTCAGACAAAATTTGGAGTCCTTTTTGAAAAATGTCTTGTTTTTTGTATTATTTATTGCCATGATGAATTTAATCAACTTAACGTAAAATTTTGTATATGACATAGTTTAAAATTCCAATTTTGAAGAACAAATTTTATTAAAACCAAAACCTGTATCTTTAGTAATGTATCTGTAGGATGGCGTCCAAACAGTTTTAAAATTTTGCAATTTTCAACAACTCTGTATTTCATGAAAATCGGACATGTGGACACATGTGCTTCAATCTATTCCAGCAACAAGTTTGTAAAAAATGTTTTTTATAAAATTTTGAAAATGTAAGGGTGTGATTTAAAGTATCCGAGAATATTAAAAAATACGTTTCAAATTCGAGGGTCGCGAAACGAGGCTGATAGATTGGCCAATATTCATTTTGAAGAACATAATGTGTAGGTCTTCGTGTTGTTACTTGACGATTAAAAATAACCACTGTGTCGGCATGAAGGACCTCGGAACATGGATTTTACCTCTACGAGAAGGTAGCATACGAGTATTACGTATATGAATAAGAAAAGTCCACTTTTTCAGTATTTGAGACCCACAAAACTTGTGTTTTTGTGAAAATCTCATCCACTATTTTCAGCAGTACAACTCTTTCTCTATATATTTGGAAATTTCAAATATACCAATCGTAATGGATGGTTATGATGGGTGGTGATCGCGCATTAACTAATGACTGACGTGGGAAATTACAAGCTTCGTGTCACCTTATGTTTTTTTCTTCGCACATCCTCGTGCAACAACTCATTTGAAGAGAGGATTGCATCGAATTATTCATCTAATGTCGTTTTCCTTTCATATGAAATGCAAGTGATGATGTAATTAGAGCGAGAGAATTTTGATGAGAACCCTGAGGCGATCGGCGTCAATCTCGAAGATCTTATCCAGGTATCCTTTAATCAATTTTCCTCAACCGTCACACATAATTTTACAACGTTCAATAAAAAATAAATTAATATACATGTAAATAAATAGAAAAATGTCCTCGAGTCGCAGTTACTGCTCTTAACAAACTGGAGAGTCCCAAACATTTTAACATCACAAGCATCTGTTAAAATGCTTGTACTGGTCTAACATCGGGAGGACAAGTGCATGAGAAATGAAATTTAACTTATAGATTGGTTCAGAACAAAAGGCTGTAACGTTCCGTATCAGTTTCCTTAACTACAATTTTGAGACTACTTATTGATGTGCTATCTACGATTCGACCGAGAAAATTTATATTATTAATAATGAATTTATAATCTGCTGCCTTATTCACTGTACCCTGCTTCGGGTAGTGTATGCAAATTCTATAATGAACTAATGTTACTTGCCATTTTACAATTTTAATTTAGAGAAACATTCGTAAAAATGATGTAAAAATTTTAGTGAACTAGAATTCTCTTATTGCGTTCCGAACATTGTTTAAGTTTAGATATCCATTATACATAATGACCAATCCACATGACTCCACTATCTATCCCCCAATCTCACTTAGTGAGAAGCCTGGTTACCGCTGGGGGATTCAAAACCTCGGGTTCTTTTAGGCAGCTATGAAGATTTCTTTTAGTATTATTTGACAGTTTTATAGCTCAAATATTTGACATAATGATTACTAATTCTTTTATAATTACTGCCAACAATAAGCTCTCAGATTCGATTACTAATCATTTCTATATCTTAGACCTAATTGAACTGGAAGAGGACATAGGAAACCGTAAACTTTCAAAAAGATTTTCTGATTGTTCCTAATTAGGGTTTAATGATTTGATATTCAGAATAATGAGCCAGGTAGTTGAGTTTACTGTAATTTTAAACTTAATCTCATATTATGTTGTGCATTTAATTCAATATTTATCCAATTTGATTTACCTGATATTAAGCGGTCACGTATACTTTTGTCCTATGATACACATGACGTAGTGTTTCTATAAAATACGAAAATTGTGTAAAATCTATTCCTGTCACACTAAGTATCGAATTCGAGACGCTGCTGTTCTAAACACGATAAACTACGAAGGGATTGACCTCTTCAAAAGCAAAAACTGTAAACACAAAAATAATATTAATTTACCAATCATAAATGAATGTGTACTTTCTGATTTTTAGAACATAAATCTGAAATGAAAAGTGTCTTAACTTTTAAGAGATTACTTTTAATAAAAGAATTTGATTGAAACAAGTTAAGTTATTTGCCATTTTACGATTTTAATTTAGAGAAACATTTGTGAAAACCATCTAAACATTTTAGTGGACTAGAACTCTCCTAAGGAAGACTAATTTGTTCTTGTGCATATTACAAAAGATGCTCCGTGCGTATCGTAAAACATACGCGATGCCAGGAAAGCGCATCGAACACTCGAGACGCCACTGTGTCTCTTCCGTATGATTATTGCAGCGACAGGCGCTTCTGCAGGAGTTTGAAGAAACAGACTTCGCGCCCTCGTTGTCGGGACCATCTGTCAGCGACCAAATGCGAAATATTCACGCTCCGTATTGCCCTTTCGACGTGTGGCGCAGGTTGCCTACTTTAGGCGGGTTTCTGCGATGATCGAGACCTTTTATTCGATTATATTTACGTGCACAGCAAGCGGAATTTAAAAAATAAAAATATTTTTCTCTGAACTATGGTAGAAATATTCACCATCTTCTTAGGTTAAATTGAAGAATGCTCCGTATCATGGGATTTGATCGCATATTGTATTAAAAGATGAAACATTTCAAGTTTTCTGTTTCTGAATATGTAATTCGACATTTCGGAATGTAGAATACGTAATTTGCACATTTTAAAACCTTTTATAAGGAAAGTAATGGTGAAATCCATTTTTAAGAAAGTTTGGTTGTTTTGTAATATATAATTGAATAATTATCAGGTTTTTGTTAGATATTATTTTTGGTCGTGTATTTGTTTATTAATGCTTCGTCCATTATATTAACAGTGTTGTTGTTCTGTTTTTTATTAATAGCCCTGAATATGGAATTACATATTCTGAGACGTCGACAAACCTGAAATGTTTTAATGTTTTATTTCTGTAGCCAAATCCTACCTGATATTCGGAACATTCTTTAATTTTCCCAGAACGTTTTTGATGAAGAGAAAAGTCGTTTGGAAGCGGTGAGGTAGATGGTTGGGGTAGAAGTGAGCACGGAACCTCGTACCCCTTTTCTCGCAGCTCTTTAGGGGGAACGTGTTCATCAACTTTATCGACATTCTGCTTAATTACCGTCCTCTCTTGCAACTTATGTAAAATTATCGGCACAATGAGTTTATTATGGAAGTCATTTTCATTTAAAAGAGTACTTGCGCGCAAAAGTTCCCTTAGTATAAAATTTCATATAATTCGGGATGAAATTCAAAAATCGAAAACTACGTAAGATACCAGTGGAGATTCTCACTAACAAAATGCAAATATCAAATGTGAACAAAATAACCATGTACGTTATAAATTTTATTGACTTCGAGAGAACTTTCACTTTTTTCTTACCTCACTCGGTCAATAAAAGTCTTATGTTGGTGATATGTTAGGTGATAATGTTTTATCTGAATCTGTAAAAGATAAAGTCGCATGTATAAAATTTGTAAAAGGAGTGCTTAAAGAAAAGTGTAAAATGAAGAACAGATAACCATACGCATTGTACTTCCTCGTCTTATTTTTCACGTGTATTCTGGTTGTGTAGAGTAGTGTTAATTTTCAGAATTTTGTTATTTACATCAATGTCCTATATCTGATATCTGAGTTTGAGTACTTTGAACAACGTCCTCTTTTCGCTCGTTTTGTGGCGTTTGCCGGGGTAGAGTTTGTAGGTAAAGTCCTCTGATGGGTGATTTCCGTGGTTTTCCAAATCACTTCTTGGGGAATGCCAGAGCAAGAGCCCTAAACAACGGGCCACGGGCCGTGCGGACGTTCCCTTTAGACATCTCCCTCAATTCGCACTGAGATACCGCTGGGGAACTTCCCCTTCATAACCTGCTTACACTGGCGGGGAAGAGGTCAAATCCAGAAATAATTGGATATAGCGTTTCCAAGTACAGAAACAAAAACAATAATTATAATTAATAATAACGGTAGCAACAACAACAACAAAATAATATCAAATTGTGAAAAACATTTTTGACACCATTAAATTCAATGCAGTGAAGCTGAAACTTTAAGATAAATACAAGCGTAGGGTGTAAAAATCGTAGCGTGAAGATGACAATGATTGTAAAAAAATTGATCTAATAAAAGAGAAGAAAATATTGAATATGGCAAGTGAAGTTTGTAAATTTCGTAACATGGAAGTACACAACATTATTGAAAATAGTGGAGTTAATTACTAGCACATTCAAAGAAGGCGTGGATCAAACCCCCCCAAAAAGAGAAAGAGTTCGGAAGACACAAAACGTGGGGATGGGTAGAAGAGCTCGAGAGGGAGGGAAGAAGGCAACGAATGGTGATGTGTGCGGGGGCTCAGCGAAGCGGGTGCTGCGAGAGGACGTTGCAGCGGCACGGGCCAAGTGTTCTAGACACTGAAGCGTTCCTGCTGACGTGAGCGATGCGGATGATTTTAATTAGTGAATTTAATTTGATAGAAATATTTTTATATTATAATATAATTTAATAATTATCACTAATTACTTAATAACAATTAGTATCCGTGGTATTACTGCCTCTATGTTAATATAATAATAATTATAATAATAATAAGAAGAAGAATAACAATAACAATAGCGAAGATAAAAATAGGATTTATAATATTTTATCGTTTTTTAACTAATAATTTTATTACATTCGTAGAAGAAATACAGTTCAGTTGAAAATTAACTATGAGTTTACGAAATGTGGTCGATCTTGTGGCCACGTGTTTGTCTTCTGCTTTTGTTTTCTTCCACGATATTGTTGCCATAGAACCGGAACGACGTTCCACAAGAAATCATACCCTGGTTTTAATAATAATCTTTTCGATTACTACTAAGAAAGCATTTTCTTATATGCACCCTCAGCAAAAAAAATTCAAACGAATTTATGTGTCAATCAACCAAGGACGTTGCAACTGCACATCGAGACACAATTTTTTATCTACAAAAATAATTTTATGACCAACAAAAATGTGACGACGCCGGCGAGTATTTTCTTGTTAAAATGTTTGTGCTAAGCACGTTCATAATAAAAATAATTTTTAAACATAATACATTTGCTTGGCCCGTCCATTTTTGGTAATAAGTGAAAAAAATACGATCAAACTACTTTTAGGAAATATGTTATTGTTTTATTACAAATTAAGGTTTTATTATCTATCTGATGAATGACGTCGACAGGTCAATACCGGAAAGACACCATAGTAATCTCCAGCGTTTAACTACTGCAGGTGACTCGAAACCTCCCAAAACTGGTATTTTAGATTTCATTCAGAATATTCAAAAAGCGTTCAGTTAAAATATGTGCCAATTGATTCATTTTGTCGATAGAAATCGGCTACTTTACTAATTACATCTGAGAGTGCCTTGACAAACCCAAAACGCTTTTTAGGATCATAACCCTCCTCCCTGATGCTAGCTTAATCAAGAAATATCTTGAATGTTTGGGGAAGATCCGAAAAAATTGACAGTTCTCTACAAGTTGATTGGATATTCTTGGTCCGAAGGGTGGAGCGGAACAGGCCAATTTGTTAGTAATTAGCACACGGACATACGCAGATTACCCGATTACTGTCCGTAGAATTTTTCAAAAAACTATTTTCCGGAAAGAATGTTTGGATATACCTCATGGAAACTCATCCTCGATGTACAATTGGGAGGAGAACAAATTGTTCAAATCTTATTCAGTATTGTTATTACATTAAAATTAACATGATCAACTAATAGTGTTATAATTGCGCAGACATTATTTGTGGTATGATGAATGGCAGCGTAAAATTATAATAATTATTGAATTGAATAGTTTAATAAACTTTCATATTTCTACCATGTCTATCTAACTATATTACAAATGTTTTAAAACACTACAGACTGTCTATTTACTAACATCATCTAAGTCATGCTTCTTAAGAAAAAGTTAAATTTTATCGATGTGAAATCGATGCTGGGTGTAGAGAAGCTATTGCACCATAATGAGAGATATTTTGTGTCGATATAACTTCAAACTTGAATATTTCAACTAAACGTAGATCGAGCTCCACAACCCCTTGCTTTAAAGGAATGATGACGGTTTGTCAACTGCGTCATTGGTGACATGAACAGTGCACGCGCAAAGGGAACCCTTGATTTTAAATTTTCCTGATTGGACATATGCCCACACATGGGAGCATAAGAGGGGTAGTTGATAAATTTTCTAAGTAAGAAATAATTTAGACAGCTGAAATTTCTATTATTTCTTTTTAATGTAATATCCTTCCTGTTCAACACATTTACTCTACTTTTCAGTCAAACAGGATATTTCAGAAAAATGAAATTTTCCTTTCTGTGCTTCAAAGTACAAATTTACAGCAGGCTTGTTCAATGAACACAAATTGGCGACCACACGAGTTGTTTTTATAAACCCGAAAAGGAAGTAATTACTGGGGGCTAAATTTAGATTGTAGAGTGTAACGTAATTATTCAAAGCCACAGTGTTTAATGGCAGCAATTGATTCCTTAAATTGAGAAGAGTGATAGCACAGGAATATACAATAATTGTTTTCTTGTTTCCCATGTATATAAGCAGATTGCCAAGTGAATTCTAAAAACGGTGCCATCTGTTTGTCAGCAGATGGTTGCGTCCGAAACTTTCTGGGTATTGGAGAACGCTTTTGCTTGCATTGCATTGATTCTTGTTTTGTTTCAGGATTCAAAAAATGTACTTTGTTTCATATAACATTACGAAAATTTAAATTTCTGTAGTATCAAAAAATCTCATTTTCACTCTCCCACTCGCCACTGCTTATGGAATGGCGTGAGATTTTTGGGAACCCATCTTGAAAGAACTTCTCTGTTCTGACACCTCGAAACGTTCACGAAGAATTCTCAAAACTGTTGACTCAGACACCCTGAACTCTCTAGTTATTATACGTCTCCGTTGCTGAACAAAATCTTCGATATATTTGCACATTTCCGAACAAGTCATTTCTACAGGTCTCTCAGAGCACAGGTTGTCTTCGATTGATTCACTGTCCAATTTAGTCTGCTTAAACCAGTACGTACGTGGAAATGGAAATGTGTAATATCACAGAATACTGCATCCGTGAATGGATTTCTATGGGTTCGGTGCCTTCCTTCGTGAGACATTTGATGACAGCTTGGTGCTCCAACTTCACCCGGTCCATGACTATTTCGACAGAACTACTGTTCGCAACCTATTTCTCTGCAATTTGTGAACAAAATTGACTAAATATTTGAATGTGTCTGAACTTGCAACATCATTAGTTCTTTGCTCACCAATCATTAACTCGGTTAAGTACAAGCCCTCTATATCTCCGCAGCTAAGTATCAGATCTGAGTGAGCAGGTGTTGTTTTGAACAGTGAATGGTAGAAATCATTCTGGGCTTTTAAACCTGTATCTCAAAAACTCATAACGATCCGAATTTATGAATTTGAAAGCCACGAGTGTAAAGTAATGGATAGCCAAAATTACATTTGCCGCCAATGTAAAGAGGAGAAAAGTTTGAAGAGAATGGTACCAAATCGTCAGCCTTCTATCCAAACCCAACGCGCGGTAGTAATAAATATCCGTATCGACAACGTAATGCAAGTTTAAGAGCACAGGCGGAATCTGACGAGCCTGGGTCATGTATGGCTGTGTGCATTTTGTTGCTTGTTATGAGATGGACAATGCAAAGAAGGTTGACCCAGACCCGTCGCACCCTCATAGCTTTCCAGATATGATGAAGGAGGGCCTAAAAGTCGACTTGTATCGGCACAAGCAAATACTTTTAAAAATTCACACTATAAATCAAGCAACGAAACAATTTTGCTATTGGTCTCATAGCCTCTCGAGAGCATCCCTGCCATATATTAACCAGCACACACAGCAGTGAATGAAAATGTACAGCAATTTCTTGAGTGGGGCTTATAGATGGGCGAGTTAATATCAAAGAACGGAATTATCTGTGAAACGTGATAACAATACTGTCTACCAACAAGGCAGACTTCTCTTGTCTTGAATAAATATGTGAAACAAGGGGACGAGGGTCTGCCTAGAGTGTAGATCTCCAGAGTCTACGTAAAATTGTCATGTATCCCAGTTGAAATAAATGATTGTCACATTTCGTGGCAGTATTGCCACCAAAGGTGGCTCAGGGCATTAACTGATGTCACTGCAGATCCTCTGAGTGGGAGGTCCTAGGGTTTGAGTCCCGATGGTGGCAGAATTATCGAGACTAGCTTGTCAACTGGGTCAAATTCAGTCGCTTTTTGGAAGATAATTCTAGCGACCGGCTTTTCTGATCGGCATATTTCCATGGTTTCGCCAATCAACACCAGATGAATGCCGGAGCAGTACCCTAACAAACGGGTCACGGACAGCGCGCGGTCTTTCCTTCCTCTACCTTGTATTTTCCTCACACACACTTACACTCACAGGCACTGCATTACCACACTTCGTGGAGACAGTCGCGAGCTTAGAGCTTGTCCTGGCTGGGGCGGTGCAACGCTGATGAGAGCTCTCTGGTTGGAGAAATCCCCGCAATTCGACGTAGGTCATCATCCTGCGTATTTCACTATCCAGAGGGGAAAGATGACTGTCACCTCAGGCGATTAAAATATGCACTACACTTATGGGACTAAAAACCTTATCACTTGACGTGCCCGAAGTCACTAATCAATCCATGGAAGCAGTGTTACCTGTAAGATCACGTGCTGGAGAAATTGTCCTCCTCAAATAATTTTACCCAACAATAATCAAATAATTTTGGAAGAGAGCTATTGCCAATACACTTACTGCACACCCCCATAATTAAAGCAAGATGGTCATTGAAAGCCAATTTACACAATACGTAGGCATTCGACCTAAATGTTGCATTGACATACGAAGAACAATTTGAAAACTAGTGAAGAAATTTTAAATCTCTTCACGTGTGTGTATTCAGAAATTCTTTAAACTTGAACGAGTGAATGTTCTCAACAAATCAATCGCGCAAGGGAAAACGTGTAACCTTTGATATTTTTATTGAGTTATATTTAAATAAAATCAAAGTTAAAGAACCGTACTTCATATAACACAACTCTGTATTCCATAAATGATAGTTGCAAATGAATTAAACAATCGAAAATAATTAATCCTAATAAACTACGCAGTGTTGACGAATTCACGAAAATATATACGACGGTATCCGAATCTGTTTGCTGTATATGAGGAGGCCGACAATTCGTTTATCAACACTGAATCAATGCATCTGAAGGCATTCAAAAGAATTAGTTGTCGTAGTAACATTGCTTGAACGTATTGTACATACTAAGTTTTCAGACTAATCATTATATTCTCATACTGTGTAGAAAATAATATAAAACATGTAGAAAATATTACAAATAATACGATGGTTTACTCTTCGTTTCTACATACTGTATTTCATTGTGAAACATATACTTTTTGAAACAGTTTTTTTCATTATTACTTTCTTTTTGAACAATTTATTAAACCCACTAGTGTTAAAAACGGTATCTGACGATATCTATATAAATACAGTTGGAGTAAATAAAAATGTGTTTATCTGTGATTAAAGTAACTGAGCTCTTATAATTTCATATCTTAATTTAGATGATATTCAAAAGCAATTCAGTTGTTTTGGCAATTTTTGTCTGTGCTGGGTAATCCCTGGATTGTCTGGAACCTATTTTAAAGCGATTTATACAAACTGAAACTTAGTGTGTTTTTTAAAGGCATCACTTGGGCTATTTTTTCAAATTATGATTTCCTCTTATAAAAATTTGTTTGTTTCATACAAATCTACAGTTTTATTCCGATCTTAATGACATTGTGTATAAGTGAACTTCAATGCAAGTGGATCGTTACTATCTATATGCGATTTGTTAAAACTTCTAGCTCCCTTCTCTACACCTTGAGCAATATTTAATTGTGCAATCTTTCCGTTTTTACTAAATGTCTCGAAAACATTAATTGAATGCACCCAAGTATATTGAATTTTTCTTCAAGGTCATAAAATTTCCTACTAAATACTTTTTGATTAATTGCTAATGTGCAATTAGATTTTTAATGATTGAAGGAGAAAACTGTAATTGTAAGTTTGCCGGGGGTGTGCAATAGTGCATTTGTTTACAGCTGCCCACTTCAGTGTTGGTAGTAAACAAAATGAATATAAGTAAACATTTCAGGGTGGGCCATGTGAGGGAGGATAATTTTGATTCATGAATACTCGGGAACGCAGGGTAGTGCAGTTAATTTAAAATAATAATATTGTAGAATATGTTGTATTTAGAAAAAAATCTCTAACTTAAACAATCAAGATGTAGATGCCATAGACGACTAGCCAATGCACCGATATGGCCAGGGTATCTGCATGAAACACTTAACGTGAATTCGTTTAGTTAAAAATGACACGTTACCACAAACGTACGAGTAACTCGCACCGAAGCGACAATCTTCTCGAGTTTCACGATCCATCCATTGCAGTTCTAAGTTACACTAAACCTGATCACCCTTCCGAAGGAACACTTATGGCCGAAACGTAATTATTTACATAAACTTTTTAACACTTAATTTTTACGTACTTTCTGTGAAATTTTGCTGGTAATGTTTTGCCTACCTGGGAGATCTCTTTTGGAATAAGATTCATCCGATGTAAAAAGGGTACTCAAACTGATACAAAGCATTGATGTTTGACAGGGGAATTTGGGAACAGTGAGAGATGTGTGGTCATTAATTTCTCTTCCGCCTTTACAATGTTACTAAGAATATCAAACAAGTTCTTTGATCATTTTCGGATTCCGATTTTAGGACTACCACTTTTGTTAGTCTCGAGCATCTGTAGATTTATTAATTGAACATATAGTTCTTGATTTTAGTATTTTTTCTGGGTTTCGCTTTCCTTCATGTTGTGAGGAACCTGAAGTTATCTCTATGTAGTTAGTTAATAACTGTGAGCCATTGTAGATTGTGGTTTCGACAATGATAATTGATCTAATTTGCTTAATTGGAATTTTATTGGTATAGTTATCTGCAACTCTTGTTCAGAAATTCTAAAAGAATGGTGACGTTACATTAGTGTAAAGGTAAAGGGTTAGGAGGGTATTGCTTGTGTCAGTAATGTCTTGAGAGACATGCATTAATCATTCCATCGATTCACGTGGTCGTTTTCTATATTTTCAGTTTAATATTTTTCGAAGACAAACCCACATCTTTTAGTGGTCATCTCTTGAAGAGGCTTTATTATTATTATTATTATTATTATTATTATTATTATTATTATTATTACTACTACTACTATTATTATTATTCGCTTTTATAATGCATAAAGCTGTAACTGAGCCATAATAAAGAGACCGAAATAATGCTCCATTTAGGGAACTTACTAAGCGTATCTCGTAAATTATTTGGACTAATTTACTTTTGAGTATTTTGTTCATTAAAATTTACGATTCCTTAGCAACTCCTCTCAAACTCGACCAAAGCAAAGAAAGTAATTGCTCTTTTCGTCTCTTAAGTTGAACGTTAATCGTACATATTCTTCCTTCGATGAATACTTCGTAAACATCTAAATGAAGGAAATGTATGCAAACGTCAATACTAAACCAACATTCTTCCTGTTTATATGTTGGTAATTCACATTTGAGTGAATTCATCAGTATTACGCGTGTCAAAGAATTTGACAATAAGGTCCTACCAGCCATTTGTAACAGTAATTATTTTTAACAGATAGTTATGAGTTACGGGCAGTAGGACTTCTTTCCTCGTATTTTCTCTGAGCAGCTTGTATCCCTACATTCCTCTTGTCGATTGTTACATCCTCGTATATGTACATTCATTCATACGTACACACATTCTCGTAATCGGAGTAATATACGTAGTGTAGAGACAGTTATGTAATGTTGCGTGAAAATAAACCGGCGGATTTTCGATAGAAAAAATTCACTGCCGGGCCCAATAATGAAAAAGTGGATAAATCCAGTTGCTAAATTAAGGGATAAAATTCTCTGACACGTAGTATAACCAGAATATCTGTTTTGTGGGTCCTTAATACCGAAATGCCAATGGACGGCAAAACGTCCGTTCGTCCGTCGGTGAACATCACTAGCGCCTAAACCATACGTAGGATTTCTTTCCAAATTGAAAAAAATAGCCTGTTCATTAGCCTCGAGTCGAAGCTTTGAGACTTTGAAAAATTTTGGGTTACTTTCCATGAGAACACATATTCAAAATTTTCTCAAAAACGGCTCCAATTTTTTTCTTTTAATTTCTGGAAGTGCTTGAAATGACTTCGTATGAAGTTCGTATGACGTTTCGAAAATTCAGCAGTTTTCTGTGGAAAGTGAATCAAATTTCGCATTCACAGTAACGCTTAAACACTGTTTTCTTAAAAGCGACTCCAAATTGTTCAAT